CGGGGAAGGGAGGTGTAAGTTTAAGAATTTTTAAGGGTAATTTAGATATTTTATATATTTTTTTTTTAAAAGGAGGTGTGTTTATATGAGAGTGGAGGTGTGTTTATCATCTGCCAACTTCTTTAGCTAGTAGCTACTAAGCAAAGCCCATAAATTGAAACTAAAGCCCAAAACATCGACCCAAATTTGTTATTCTTCGTTTACTATCCTAGTCCAATTTTTTTAATCACCCCCAAAATTATTTAGTGCACGTCTACATGCTGGATTTCTCCAACTGCTGTCTCCAAACCCTATCCTCTCAATCACAAAATGCCATCTTAAATAGATTATCACGTTATGACTTTTAATTTTAATTTTGATTTTAAAAAAATGTAACCAATTTTCATGTCTCATTACAATTTTTTATTTTATTTTGATTCTCTCATTCTTCTTTTTGTTTATTCCTTTTTCACGTAAGGTTGTTCCTTTCTATTATTGATTATTCTCTACCTTTCTTGCTTGTTGTGTGTGCCCTCCATCATCATTGGCGGTGCTATCACAATTGTTGCTCTCTGGCTAACATCTAGCCCCCATTTTCAAGCTCTTTGACAGCACTTGTGTCTCCACTCATCACTCTTGTTGCTTTGTCTCCCTCTGACGAACAAATCTAAAAATACGTTAAAGACTCTATTGACAGGGTTTCACATAACTCATTCTCATGTTTCTCATTACCTTTCGATTTCTCCTACTCCATTCTTTTTCTCCGGTTCACATTACATAATTTATGGTTTTCTTCTTGAACTAAGATTTATTTGATCCCTTTGAACATCGTGTTTGTTTCATTTTGTTTGACTCTAATTCTGTAGGATTGTTACACAAGTTCATTCTTTATTTCATGCATATTTGATTCTTGGTCACCTGTTCAAAGCATTATGTTATGGTTGAAGAAGAACATCAAGAAATGGGCATTGATATTGTTGATGAAATTGAAGGAAAAAAATTGATATGATACAAGATACAATTCTTGGTCAAATTTATACCAAAAGTTGGGATGAAGTTTGAGACTGAAGATGCAACATATAATTTTTACAATGATTATGCTTATAGAGTGGGTATCAGTGTGAGGATTAGCAAAGGGCATAAAGATAAATATGGGAAGATAGTTAATAGAGTATTTTGTTGTTCATGTGAAAGATTTCGTGGGAAAGATAAGCGAGAAGATAATGTAAAAAATCCTCGACCAAAATCAAGATTTGGTTGTTTGGCAAAGATGAAAGTTAATAGTCTTTTAACGAGAAAGTATCGTGTAACTTAAATTATTTCCAAGCATGCACATGAGACTACAAATCCTAGTAAGAGTCATTTGCTTAGATCTAAAAGGAAAATGACAATTCCTTAAGTAGTCGAGGTGCATTTAGCTGATGATTCTGGAATTACTCCAAAAGCAAGTTGTGAGTTAATGGCTAGGCGAGCTAGTGGTCGTGAAAATCTTGGATTCATTCTTGAAGACTATAGAAATTATTTACGTTCCAAGAGAACAATGCAAATGAAGTCAGGAGATACAGGTGGTGTGCTAGAGTACTTGCAAAAAATGCAATTAGAAGATTCTAATTTCTTTTATGCAATACAAGTCGATGAGGATGACTTAATTACTAATATCTTTTGGGCTAATGTGAAGATGATGATTGATTATTCATATTTTGGTGATGTTGTTTGTTTTGATACTACTTATAGAAAAAAATAAAGAAGGTCGTCCATTTGCCATGTTTGTTGGAGTTAATCATCATAAGCTTACCGTTATTTTTGGAGCAACATTATTATATGATAAAATGCCTGAAAGTTTTATTTGGTTGTTCAACACTTTTTTTAAAGATATGTCAGAAAAGAAACCAAAGACTATTCTTACTGACCAAGATGCAACAATGGCAAAGGGATTAGCTTTGGTATGGCCAGAAACATGCCACCGCCTTTGGATTTGGCATTTGTATCAAAATGCACTAAAGAAATTGAGTATAGTGTTTGCGCAGTTTAAAGACTTAAGTAAGGATTTTAATAAATGCATCTATGAATATGAAGAGGAAGAAGAGTTTATAGTAGCTTTGAACAATATGCTTGAGAAATATGATCTTAAAGAAAATAGTTGGTTGAAACAAACTTTTGCTTTAAAGGAGAAATGGACATTAGTTTATAGTCGAGAGAACTTTTGTGTAGACATGACTATCACACAACGAAATGAGAGTATGAATAATGTATTAAAAAATATGTGAGTTATCAACATGATTTACTAAGATTTTTTCATCATTTTCAGAGAATGGTAGAGGATCGTCGATATGAGGAATCAAAGGCAGATTTTAAAGCAACCCAAAGAAGTTTAATTATGTAATTTGACGTGGAAATTCTACGGCATGCGACAACAATTTATACTCCTGTAATATTTAAGATGATCTAACACGAGGTATCATGTGGGTATGATTGTAGTATGTATATTTCCTCTCAAAATGGGGGAAGTTATTGAATATAAAGTTACCTCATATAAGAATTTATTTCAACATATCGTCCATTATGACTTCTCTGTTGGTTCAGTGAAGTGTAGTTGAAACAGGTATGAGTTTGTAGGGATTTTATGCTCACGTGCTCTCAAAGTTCTCTTTTCAAGAAATGTTATGAAAATTCCTACTATGTATGTTTTAAAGAGATGGACAAAACATGCAAAAATGGGAAATGGCCACTAGTGCAAAAAGAGGCTTTTACGTCACCTAAATAACGTCGAAAAACGGCACTACCAATGTTATAAAAACGCGGTGGCATATACCGTAATTTTGGTAGATTATTTACGTCGGTCCTAACTGGGTCTGACGTAAATTTTAACATCTACATCGGCTACACATTGTGTCCGACGTAGATATTAAAATTTACGTCGGACCCAATAAGGGTTGATGTAAATAACCCACTGCTGCTCATTAAAAGAAGGTGCATGTGCGCGCAGTAGCTATAGATTTCAAAAATTCACCTCCCGTGCTCAAAGTCTGAAGTGGTAGGGCCTTCCTCTTCTCCTTTAGAGTTCTTTTCAGGGATTCATTTCAAGCTTCTCCTTCTTCCTCTTCAACAACTTAGATTTCTTCCCCCGTGCTTCTTGTTCAGCTTGGAACCACGAAGTTTTCGAGGTTAGGGGATCTCACTCTTGTTTTTCTATGAGGTAGCATTTCTAGTTTTTCTCGTTCAACTTTGTCCTGCATTTCCAGTTTTTGAAGCTGGAGAAGGAAGTGACCACGTCCGGATTTGGAGCTGGGTCTATCAAGCAGAACGACCCGTTCTCCAAGCAGAACGGGCCGTTCTGCTTGCATTCGTTTTTATTTTTTTCTTTTTTTAATTTTTTAGGACTTTTTTACGTCGGACGTTCTCATGTCCGACGTAAATTTACGTCGGTTTTCGCGCCCCGACGTAAATTTACGTCTCCCGCTTCTACGTCGAACGTTTTTCTGACATAAAAATCCCTAAAATGACCGATGTAAAATGTGTATTGTGTACTAGTGGGCATACCAACTAACCATTCTATAATCCATGAGGACCCTAAGGCAAGAATAGGTATGTGCTATAAAGACATATGTAGGATGCAAGTTTAGTTAGAAACAAAAGGAGCGATAACTTAAGAAACATATAATATAGTTATTAGTTATTTGACCAAGGTCATGAATGATATAGATGTCTGTCTTGAAGGTAGAGACAAGGAAGTTAGTACTAATGATGGTTCACTTATAAATATTGAAAATGGTTGGTGTAGTGGGAATAAGGATAATGTGAAAGGAATAAAGACCAAAGAATGATTTTGAGGATCATCTACTAGGCCAAAAGGTATTCTTGAAAGAAGAAAAAAGAAGAAAACTATGCAACAGAGTTGTTACAGGTGATAAATTATAGTGCCTTCTATTTTTGTTAGTTTAATATTTTTTTAAATTACATTTGTAAAATGAGGTATATGTATATGTACAGACACAACTATCTAGCATTGAACATGGAATAAATGATGTTACAAATTCTCAAGGAAAAGAAGGACAAAATGATCTATGAAGTAATTTGGTCATAGAGAGTTTTTATAAACATCAAGATGTTTCAATGATTCTAGTTTAAAATTTTGGTTTTATGTATTTTTCAAACTTTGCAAATACACTATTGCAATTTAGATATTTTTCTTGGCCTTGTATCGTAGATATAAAATTGCTCACTTTATTAGATAATCTTATTATGATATCAAACGAGAAATTCATTTGATGTTATTGTTAATGCAAAATAAAAATTATAATAATAAAATAACCTTTGATCTTTTTTATTATTAATGAATTTATAATACATCAATATAATTTTACTAGCTCATATTTGATGTTTACAATTGAGTACGTAGTTTGCAATCTTTACATATCAAAAGTCAAAATGTATTTTAGTCTTCAACAATCACATATAGTTGAAATTCATAATCTAATGCATTCACTGATGCATCCTTGTGTGTTTGTAGTCTTGGTGAAGCTTTGTGTTTGGTAGAGGATCCATTGATTTGAGCTTGCATCATAGGAAAAATGTCAAATATTAGATTAAAAACAGAGGAAAAATGTGCGTTCGCGCGTATATATATATATATATATATATATATGGAATACCACAATGATAATGGAAAAGAAAAAAAATAGTGGAACTTATATAAACATATTATAGAAACTAGATTAATTCATTATTGACATTAATCTCAGCAAGTGTTGCATGTTGATAGGACCAACATACATGGGAGCTAGTTGTAGTATTTAAGTCCAAGAGCTTCAACAGTGAAACATACAACTATTGAATCACTACTACAAAAACACTGTTTAACATCGCTATATTTACATCGATTTTAGTAGAATTGATGTAAATCATAAACGCGATGACAAACTTGTAAATAAATAGAAAATGCATATTTACATCGGTTAGGAAGAGAAACGATATAAATATGAGCAATTCTACGTCGATTTTAAGATTGACCGATGTAGAAGTGGAATCAGGAAGTTATTCTATATCGTTTTGCTTATCACCGATGTAGAAGTGAACCCCTCATATGTGTCCCGTGAACACGCTAGGTTAAATACTCGGGGCCAAGGCCTCTTCGCTCTCTTCCTCCTTCGTCTTCGTCTTCGCTGTCGCCACGTCTCGCGCTCAAGTGCTCTCTACCGCGCTCGATAGACTCTCTTCCTCCTTCGTCTTCACCATGCGACGTCGTTGGGCGCGAGTGCGAGGAGTTAGAACGCCGGCAGCGAGAAGAGGCAGGGTCACAGTCATAGGCACAATCTGAGCGAGTGCACTTCGGATCTGAGCGAGTCGTGTTCAACGCTGCGCGGTAACAGTGGCAGCAACACGCTACTCTACACGCACGTGATCGCGTTCACGCTGTACTAGTTGGAGACCATAACGAACAGCTTCCGCGGCGACTACATCCTCGGCGAGGGAGGGTTCGGGACCATTTACAAAGGCTACATTGATGAGAACGTGAGAGTGGGACTCAAATCACTACCTGTAGCGGTCAAAGTGTTGAATAAGGAGGGACTGCAGGGACATCGCGAGTGGCTCGTGCGTTTCGCGTCTTGCGTTTTGCGTTTTGCATCTTTTTTTGTTTTAGTTTGTCTGGTTAATTTTTTTTTGTGTGTTTTGGTGGTGCAGACGGAGGTGAATTTTCTAGGGTAGCTTAGCATCCTAATCTGGTGAAGTTGATTGGGTATTCCTGGAACTCTTCTTCAGATCTTTCAGGTTCTAACTTTGCTCAATTTTTTCTCTTTTGGTTGGTTCTGTTTACATGGTGTCTTGATTGAATTTTTGACCCTTTGTCAGGTCATTGGAAGTGAGGGTTGGGGTGGATCTACTAGTAGCCATGGACTTGATGGTTCTCCAACTAACTGTTGGTCAAAGTAAGTATTAACTCTGGCTTATTTTTTGTCCTGTCGTTGGTGGCTGATCTGCTATATATTAATCTATACTTTTGTTTTTGCAAAGTAAGTATTAACTGTTGGTCAAAGTAAGTATTACTCTGGCTTATTTTTGGCACTTTTGTTTTTGCAGCTTAGCTGATATGGCAGCCAATCCTTTCCATGCATTATTCTACCTTGTGTTTATGTTGTCTACCTGTGCCTTGTTCTCTAAAACTTGGATTGAAGTCTCTGGTTCATCTGCTAGAGATGTTGCAAAGTAGCTGAAGGTAACTAACATGCACTTTTTTGTGAATTTATTATTTTATTTTCTAACTTTAGTACTTCAATAATATGACAAGAATCTAACTTTTATTATGTGTTCATAATAAAAGTTCACATTGTTTGATAAGCTGTGAAATGTTGCGAGTCTTGTTTCCCACTTAAATTGATGTTGGAAATTTCTACTTACAACACATGAAGCAGAATAACTAGGATTTAGTCTAAATTTAACTTTAGAAGTAATATTTTGTTTAATAAATAGTATTTGGCCAAACTTTAAAGTCCAGTCATACACAACTTTAGAAATGTTCTTAACAATAAAGTTGTTTTCCTTTTTTCTTTTTAAATAAAAAGTTGAAAAAGTAGAGCTTTAATATAAGCCTGTTAGAGGAGCTTCTACCTTTTGTTGACAAGAAGCCCAAAAATGTTAAAAGCCAAACACTACCTAAAAGATATATTATTTCTAGCTTCAGCTTCATTGCAACTTTATTAGTAAGGCTTGTGTAAGTTAATCAATCTTATCTCTAAGCACTCTGTGGGAACTACAAAGATCTTTGTAGTGTGGTAAAATTCATGATTGATATGAATCTATCCGGTTAGTTATTAAAGTTTGCTGTCATAATATCTAGTTTTTTGTTTTGATTTTAAATTTGCAGGAACAACAAATGGTAATTCCTGGACATCCGGAGTCGAAAGTTATGAATCATGTAATATACATATTGAATCATTGATGATTCAAAAGTTAAATTGGCGATTCACCCTCCCCTCCCATCTATTTATTTATTTTTTTGGTTGCATTTGTTGCTGTTTATTGAGTCACAGATTTCCTTTGGGTTTGAAAAGCATGTTTTTTTTTAATGAAGTTCTTGAATATAGAATACAGGTATGATACTTTTGCACACCTCCAATTTTCGGTATTTTTTTCTTTAATTGAATTGTTGTCTCTTCTACAAAGCTTTATCATTAACAACAAAAATTTAATAGAAATTATTGGTAATCTAATATATTTATTTTCCTAACATTCATTATTTTTCTATTAGTGTTTATTCTTTTATTATATCTTTTTGTTTCTCTTGGTTAATTATTCCTTCAATTACACCAATGTGAGCTGTTATTTTATTTATATTTTTTGTATTCAAACCTTGACAGCAAAAGAAGAGAGACATGTGTACATTATGTTATCTACTAATTTTTAATTTTCATTATAGTTTGTAGTTTCCATTATAGTTTGCAATTTGTATGTTTTCTTTTTTTTGAACTGAATCTGAATCTAATTAGATGAACTAGTCCATTTAAGAAAATAAAGCACTCCCTGGCCTTACTTTTTTTATTTTAAGAATCTAAGTTTAGTTTAACTCAATCTCTGAAATATTATTGTATTTATTTCATATTCTTTCTTCAGTTTGGTTACTGCTCCTAACTAGCTCCTTGGGGATTAAATATGAAATATGAAATTTCTAAAGCTATATATATTCATTACAGATAATCAGAAATAATCCAAAAATAAGCATGATTTTTTTTAAATGCAATCTACATCAATTCTCAAGAAAATTGATGTAGATTTATGCTTAAATTTACATCGGTTTTTCAGAACCGATGTAAAAATGTATACATTTTCTACATCGCTCTATTCTACATCGGTTTTAGAACCGATGTAGATGACTTTAGAGAATCGATGTAGAATATGCATATTGTAGTAGTGAATTAACTACAAAAGACAAATCAGGCTTGCTTTCATATGTGTTTTTTGTTCTTGGAGACCTCAAATGCAATGGGGTAGTAGAAAAATTTTGGACCAACAATTCAAGAAAGACATGTTTTTTTACATCTTCTCTACATAGTTTTGAATGATAATTATCATACCTAGTTAGATTTGATTACATGTCATATTACTAAAGTATAAAACCAAAAGCATATTTGTAAAACTTCTTTTTATTAGTTGGTTTATGGTTACAAATTGCTATTGAAATTCCTCACTCAAGGTACTAACTATACCATTAAATTTCTCTAATATAAATTTTTTGCCTTCTTTTACACAAATATTATATAAGGCAAGTGGATGGAAGTCTTGTCATTTTTAAAGCAAAAAGGAAAAGAGTGATTAAGTCAATGGTTTTTTAGCCAATCAAGCTAAAGTTACAACTAGGGGTTCCCAAGCCATGAATGTTTTCTATGTGACTGGTGTATCTGAAAATCCAGTAAAGAGTGAAACAAATAAAGCAATTTGAAAAGTGATTGGTTTGACCATACTACAATCCCACAATGATGTCTATCTAATAAAGTCTTATTCTTGAAACTAGTTAACTTACATAGATAAAAGCTATCTTGAATATTAATATCTGATAGTAGCCTAGTAGCCTAGTTTAGCCTAATCCCACAGAAATGTCTTTTTTCTTTTTCTTTTTCCTTTTCTTTTATCAATTTTATTTCCAGCCATTAATTACAAGTAATTGATCCGGATTTGATAAACAATTTGTCAAGATCAAAGATCTACTACAAGCCTTCTTTTGTGTAACCTATTTTGACTCTTTGTTTTTCAATTCACTTCAAACATGTTTTGGCACTTTCAACTCTGTTTTTGCCCTGTTTTTGAGTCAGATTTTCCAGAACTAAAGTTTATATGTCATGCACTATCAGTTGAACCACAAATTGAATCAAATTTGAATTGCACTTGAAATTTTTATAAGAATTTTTTTTAGAAACAAATTTGGAATTGAAAACTTACAAAGACATAATGGAAACCTATCTCTAAGAATCCATTAATGATCTAATAATGGATATGAACTCAAGAATGTAAAAAGAAAAGCACCAAAGCACTACACAATGACAAGTCTCGGCCAAACTTAGAAATTCACACAAACAATTTCAACATAAGATCAACTAAGCATATCTTGAATTTTCTTGACAATTAAGGACTACATATTGTAACGACCCGCCATGGTCTCTACACTTAGTAGAATCGCACTACTACTAGTGAACTAAGAGAAATATTAAGTTGGATAACTCATACATACAAGTATAGATAAGAATAAAAATAACCAAGTTTCTTAAATACAAAATAGAATGCCATATATGTACAGTCATCCCAAAAATAATATTCCCCAGTGTCGGTCAAGCACAGACAAAACCGTTACCCAAAATGGTAACTCTAACACGAGGATCAAACTCCCCGTCTCCCAGCGGTCACCTCAACTCCAAGCTAGCCCTGACCTGCTCCCATACAAGGTATGATCATCGCAGTCCATCCACATGGAAACAGAAGCTAGAGTTCAAAACCAATCATACAAGTATAGAATAAAATCTATACTACACATCATTCAATTATCAATCATGTTCATAGAGTCATACCATACACTCTATCCAATACTACTCATGCATAAAATACAATCCACCAATCATGAAGTCAAACACCACACTTCATCATATTAATAATCATGCAATAAATGCATCTCATGACAGATATCAATGCATATCAATTATCTAATGCGTTGTCATGCATACACCTAGGAGATTTCCCTAACAATAGAGCTGTATAAGTGATATTCCATCCTACCGAAACCACCCTAATCGTTTTCACGCCTAATGAGCCCGTTTGGTCACATCTAAACAGGATATAATCCTCACTCGGGTTTACTCGGATGATGTCACTTACAAAATTGGAAGTCCAGATCCACCGTCAGGTATAGCATAGTTGGGTACGTGCTTACCACGACCTTGGCATGCATAACCAAGTCAATTGTGAAGTTCGCCCACCGACTATCTGCAAGGATCCACTCACTTTCCCGAGTACTTGGTTAAGGGAATAACCCTCGACCTTATACCCCGCTCCAACACTAGCTAAGGACTGTAGACACCCAATTTCGTCTGGGGGCATACAAACAAGGACATGGACCTCTATTACGGAGGGAAGGAGCTCCCGAAGCATGCCAACAAGAAGACAGGACTTCAGAGGGCCCTAAAGCACAAATTAAATATTTTTATTGGCCCGGAACGGGCCGTTCCAAAATCAAAACGGGCGGTTCCGAGGTCCAGAACAGGTCATTCCGAGGCTCCCAAAAGGCCAAAAACCCTAATTTAGAATGGGCTGTTTTGAAATTGGAACGGGCCGTTCCAAGATTGGAACAGGCCGTTCCAAACCCCTCAAAAAAGGGCTAAAAGCTTAACTGGAACGGGGCTGGAACGGACCGTTCCTAAAATGGAACGGGTCGTTCCTAAATCTGGAACGGGCCGTTCCGGTCTAAAAAATTAGGTGTTATTCTCACTACTGGAACGGGCCGTTCTGATTTCAGAACGGGTCATTCTAGTATACGAATTTTAAACACAACGGCCATGTCCAGAACAGGCCGTTCCGATTTTGGAACGGGCCGTTCTGGACCCTGTCTGAAGCCTGTAAATAGAGAGCTTGGGCACATTTCTTAGGGACTCCAAATTTCGTCCAGAGCTCGAAATTTCTCTTTTTTTCTCTCTTTTTTCTTTCTTTTTCTTTCTCTTGTATTTCTTGAGATATTGTGAGGTATTGTAGTGTGAAAGGTTGCCACAAAGCACCTAGAATCACCATTAACAAAGCTTGATACGAGGTATTTCAGTAAATCTTCTTCTCTCTCTTTTATTTTTTATCTTTGTTTCTTATTTTTGATAAGCATTATTATAATAAAAACAATCATGTAGATATTTTCGGGTCATTCGTATAATTTAAATTTCAAGCATGTGAATAGTTATTAACAAAGGGGATCTAATATTTAATTTATTATTTTTTATCATGTTAACTTCAACATAGGGTACCAATTTTGGGCGCTGTAAGGGTGCTTAATACCTTCCTTACACGTAATCGACCCCCGAACCCAATTCTGGTTATCAAGGCCATTATTGGACCTTTTAAAAATCTTTTCTTTTTCCAATGTTTTGAGTAAAACATTGGTGGCGACTCCATAAAACCTATTTTCAAAACCATCAATTAAGGATTAGTCTGGTGTTCGGGCATTCCTCAATTGATGAGATCTTTAAAAGGATGTCTAAACCATAGGTCGCAAGATCGGAAATTTTCGGGTTGCGACAGATGGCGACTCCACTAGGGACGTTTAAAGAGGGTCAAGCCCATTTAATTAATGAAATTAGTAAAATAAAAATAATAATTTAAATATTTTTTCCCTTTACCTTGTTTGTTCTCTTTGTTTGGCTTTGATATTTGTTTGCTTATTTAAATTCCGCACCTGTTTGAAATAAAATTGTACACAAACCTTTGCACACAACAGTTCCCCCTACACCCGGGGGCATGAGGGTATTAAACATAGGGAGTGGTTGACGTACGACCGGCCCAAGTTTGGCCTTCGAGCCTGCGAGCCTTGTCGGAAATCACACTCAAGGTGATAACCGGTTACTCTAGCCCGAAATACTGCGACAGACCTTAGAGTTTGCCAGGTGACGGCGACAGAGATACTGGGTCCCTATAATGGGGGCACCTTGGGGGCCTTAAGACCAAAGTGAGGATAATTAGAACCACCTTATACAATGCACTTTTCTTAACAGGGACCACAGACCATGGATGTATACGTGACTGTTTGTGGATTGTATGAGCATATGGTTGTTGCATTTTGTCTATTCAAATCATTCATTTATTTTTTTAATAATTCCCCTAAGGTAAAGAAAAACACAAAATTAAAAATGCATTATCATGTGAGAGAAAACCTAGTGTGGAAATAAGATTTGTGAGAAGCATACATTCCTTCTTTTTTTTTAAAAAAAAAGAGAGGGGCATCATGCATTTTCTACAAAAAAAAAAAATATAATAAATAATAAAAAAAGGAACATGCATATCATATATTTAGGATCACAAAGGGATTTGTATCAAAGACGAGAAATCAGTGTGACCTCTGTCACATCATAAAATATTATGAAGAGGAACACCGATAACTCACCCCTCGACAAGGATGAGTCATTAAGTCTTTGATAGAAACTCCCTTCATGCATTATCATTTAAATAAGCTTGATAAGAAATTATCTTGTCCCTTAAAGGTGGCTCTTCAACATTTCGTACTCACACGAGCTTAAAAGAAAAAATCTATGGAAGACCTAGAGGAAAGAAATCGTGTCCTCAATGAGGAGCTCGGACAGCTCAAGGAACAAATGGCTAGAATGCTTGAGGCCATGAACAAATTGCAGCACGACAATAGGACTAGCAATGTTGGTTACACTTCCAAAGATCATCTGAACACCTTGGAAGAAAGACTGAGAGTTGTGGAAGGCCACAATTTTAACATTCAAGAGGCTGCGGATATGTGCCTAGTGCAAGACATCCAATTCCCTGCCAAATTCAAAATCCCTGACTTCCAGAAGTACACCGGGGCTAGTTGTCCAAAAGGACATCTGACAATGTACTGTAGGAAGATGGCAGCCTCCGTGGGCAATGAAAAGCTCCTGATACACTATTTTCAGGAAAGCCTTTCAGATGTTTCTCTTAACTGGTACATGCAGCTGGATGGAGGAAAGATCCAGACA